GTAACCAAATCGCTCACTCACAACTGTAATGTCAGTAGCTCACAAAGTATGCAAAGTGCTTAAGCCCGGGGGAGGAGGGGAGATTTGCCTGTTCCCTGTATGCATAGTTTAGCATCCCCATGGTCAATTCTTCTGTTGCAAGTCACAAAATATGAGCTGTATCACAGGAACCTTACTACAATCTGGTGACCTTCAGTTTTGGAGTATACTTTTAGGGGGGGAGCAGTTTTCTAGCCCTCACGACTACTGGTTTGTGTTCATCAACTCTCTTTTTGCTTACACTTGCTGGACTCTAGCTTGTTCAGAAGCAGCCAACTCTTCCAGCTTGTTCCCTCTAAGCTGTGGAGTCTTGTGTGCAAAAATTCTACTTTGCGAGCTACTGGCATTAAAGTTGTGAGCGAGCGATTTGGCTACTGCATAAATTAGTTTGATCTGGAGCCGTCCTTCCTGAGCTAAGACAAAAATTTGTGAGCTGGAGGCTAAAAAACTGTGAGCTAGCTCACACTAACTCAGCTTAGAGGGAACACTGGTGGGGGTGGGGTCAAAAGTGGCCTAAAATACACTGCAGGGTGAGATCTTCCTTGAACATTGAGAGATCCTCTCAAAGCCTGGTATGCACACATGCAACGTGATTCTCTGTTTCAAAGGTCAAGGATCAGGCCAACTTCTGCCCCTTTGTTCAAGTTTGGGGGAAGGTGCAAAATGTGTCGTGATGCGGTATCCGGAATGAAGTCTGTCAAAACAGGGCGCTTGATTAGTACAATCTGAAAGGCAGCACACGATCGGCTGTGATAATGACCATAGCTGAGGAGGAGCTGACTCATTAACACAGTCATGTGAATCCTTCCTAATGAAGACATCTTTGCAGAATTTGCACTCGCAAGAGGGTCCGTGTTCCCGAAAGGTAGCCAGAGCATGGAAGCAAAAATGAAGGAGATGGTTTAATTGAAAGATGTCGACTGCATAACAACTATTAGAGGTCAGGACCAATCACACCACTTTAAAAAAAAAACTTCAAAAGCAGTTATTCTTTTGATCCTGGTGCTTTCAATCCGAAATAGAAGATTGTGGGGAGGGAGGAATTGACGGCCTGAAGGTTTGTTTCTTTGAGGAGAGACGTTCTGTTTGGAGTTCTCCCCCCCCCCCCCCCCGTTGTTACAATTCTGTTTAATCACCCAGCGAGCACCAAGATTAACTGGAACGAGTGGTAAAGAGTAGGAGATGACTGGGAAACAAAACACATCACTGTCAATCACATTGTCATGTGCTGCGTTCCTTTTGGGAGGAAGACAGCAGGGTATTTTTCAAACTGAGTCCTGGGAGGTTACTCCAAATGCAGTAGAGGGCACAGACAGTAGAAAGCAGAGCAAGAGATCTCCCGTTTCTCGCCTCACACATGGGACACGCCTCTGCTTCTCTGCACTTGAAGCTCGGCAGCGGAATGTATGAACCGCAGCCAGGAAAACAGATTACACTGCAAATTTGAGTCACTGTTGAGGGCTTCAGATTAAAGGCACGAGCGTATAGTCTGTTTTCCTCCATGTGCACTAATTAGGATGGCAAACAGAAATGAGTAACAAGGGTCTTTTCCTTCTAACAATGTTTTCTTTATCTTATATTATCTTACACCTTCAAAAACTTGAAAAGGCATTTGCATATCTTGGTTAATTAACCGGTTGGAAAGCAGAACTGACAGCGGCTCCCCAGGGTCTTGAGTTGGAGGTCTTTCACATTACCCACTACCTGGTCCTTTTAATCAGAAAAGCATGCCGGAAATCCTTTTAATGCAGAAATGCATACCAGCAGATGCTCTGCCACGGAGCCACAGCCCCGTCCCTTGAGTCTTTGGCTTCCCTAACCCCTGCCGCCCACAGCTGTCCCCCCTCCGAAGACATACGGCCATATACTACCTGATACCGCAAGTGGAGCCCCATCAAGCGATTGTACGTCTATCAAAATTAGATTGGCTCGTAAGAAAAGCACGGTAATTAGGGGGAAAACATTTCATAATTTTGCATCTAATTGGAGAGACATTTGGCTGGAAGAATTTGTATGATAACTGCTCCGCTCGGTGAGCTTGCAAGTCATGAAAGTTAATTCTGCGTGTGTGTGTGTTTTTAAAAAAAACAGAACAGTGACAGTCAACGGGAAGAGCTGCTTCCCCAATCAGTCTCCTCCCAAGAAGTGCTTTGAAATTGAAGACACTTTCCGGTATTTTTTTTTCCTTAAGCTTTCTTTAAGGTCCTTATAAAAACCTCTCCTTTCACTTTTCGAAACAGCATTAAAATCTGGAGTGGGAATGCAATTAGGTTGTCTAGGGACATTAGGTAATTGAAGTTGCCTTAACTACTGTATTCAATTCTGCTGAGGAAGTACGTTCTGTGTAAAGAGGGAAAAGGGGGAGGCTGGTGTTTAAGCAGCAGAGAGACCCTGAAATCACTGAGGGCAGCATGATGCGACTGACATATGTGACACACACACACCCCCGTGCTGAGTCTCTCCGAAGACAGGGCCAGCCTGTCATAGAGAATTTTTAGGCAGCGGCCTAGAACAGCCCCTAAAGAGAGGGTGCCCCGCGGCCGCTGGCCTGCCGCCCCTCCCCTCCCTTGCCTAAACAGGGTAGGCTGAGCTGATGCTGCTGTGATCCCGCACGGCAGCACAAACTGGCTTCCAGGCCCGCTCCTCTGGGGACTCCATGCTGCTTCGGCCTCCAGCGGGCCCCCGCTCTCCTTCCCACATGGCTCTGCCCCGCCCCACACTCCGGCGCTGGCCTTAGGCAGCAGAGCCTCCCTGCTGCGGCCCTCACTCGCTTGCTGGCTGCCGTGCGCCCGCCGAGGCCATGCTGGGCAAGGACTACATGCTGGCCATCATCCTGGTCAACTGCGATGGCCGCCCCTGGCACAGGAAGGGGGGCTCGGAGGGGCGCCCTTCCTGGGAGGAAAGCAAGCAAGCAGCCAGGCTGAGGCCACCTCCAGCGGTGCTCGTTCCCTTCTTCCCTTTTCTTCTTCTTCTTCCTTGGGGCTGTCATACTGGGGGAGGGGGCACACCAGGGGGGGGCACCAGAAAATTGGCGGGCGCACCGGGAGGGGGTGCCAGAAGGTAGCCAAGCCTAGTGTACAAAAAAACCTGGAGCCAGCCCTGTTAGAAGGGGGCTTGAGGTGCTCAGCCGGAGAACTCAGTGTTTGTAGACTGGCTGAGATGGTTCATTGCTTTGATTTGAGCAGCTATGGCTCAGTGGCAGAACATCTGCTTGGCCGGCAGAAGGTTCCAGGTTCAATCCCCAGCAACTCCAGTTGAAAAGATCAGGTGGTAGTAGTTTTTTGTTGTTGTTTTTTCAATGTGCAGGGATACTACCCTCAGATGTGAGGGCGATCTGGCTGCGACACCTGTCACCCCATTCATCACCAGGGTTGATTCCGCTGATCTGGCTGGCTAGGTGGGTATCCCCTACCTCCCTCACCACTCCATGTGCCTCCCTCCCGAAGCTGCATGCTCAGTTGAAGAGGACGACCATCCCAGATAGAAGGAGTGTACCGTTCTTCGGCCAAGGGTACATGATAGCTGCGCTCCCCTGCTAGAACCTCCAAACAAGCTCAAGATCAGGTAGTCGTTGGTGTGCAAGAGCTCTGCCTGAGAACCTAGACAGCCACTGCCAGTCTGAGTAGACAACAGTGACTTTGATGTGCCGAGGTTCCGATTCAGTATAAGGCATCTCCATGTGTTCATGAGTTCCTGGGATGTGGGCATGCAAGTGCTGCACTTCATGGCTGTTCACACGGTGAACATAGGATAAACATTAGTAAGAATCGCCACTGGCTTCCCAAAAGACCCACTGTAATCTCTAAGGTTAGTGTCAAGTGTAACTGTGTTCAGTCCAGGAGCCCCCAGAAAGATCAGACAAGATCAGACAAGGGTTCCTTTCTGGTCTTTTACAAGATCATGACTATTGACTAAAGGTGATCCAAGGTATGGAGCTTTGCTGTTTTGTCCCTGACCTTCAAATGACTGGCTTTTAAGCCTCCAGTTAATTCCACAATTTGGTTTTGTGCACAGCTGTGATTTAGCACTGTGGGGGAGCACCTAAAGCTTTTCAGCTGGTCCCCCCCCCTTCCGAATGTCTGTCCTAGCTTTAGGTTCCTATTTTTTCCCCCTCCTCTTTGCTTGAATGAAACAAGTGGCTATTAACGAACAAAGGCTCGCTCATTATCCAGGCAGTCGGCTTCTTTGCTGCTTGTGCCAGCGGCCCGCTGAGATGGAAGTTCCGTCCCTGGTCTGTTTCGGGAGAACGAGCCAACCTGTTCTTTAAGATGCTCCTACCCCTGGGGCCCTTCTGTTCAGTCTTAGAATCTCTTTCATTCAATTATTGAAGTGCCAGGCCCCCGTACAGATACGGGGACAACCCGTTACCGTCTTTGGCTGGATTCGTTCATATTTGGTTGCCAGAACACTCATTTGAGGAAACAGTTTCGAAACCAGAGCACTGCAACCCGATCTGATTCAGATTTACTTTCCTACCAAGTTAGTTATTAATAATAAACGCGCTGAAAATCCCAACCTTCCTTCAACAAGCTCAGGGAAGCATCTGAGTCTCTTGCTTAGCGGGAGCCACTTTGGAAGACGGTTGTTTGAAAAGCAGGGTAGAATTGGAATCAATAAAATAACCAGACTGAGCCCCGGTTGCAAAGGGTTCAGGGAGCCGATTCGGATAATGTATGTGTCTTTTTTAATAAAGTGCAAACCGTGCCTTCGGTTGTACTCTAGAAGAGCGCCATGCCCCTGGTATGAAACGTTTTGGGTGCATCAGGAATGTGTTGCTTTCTCCAAGTAACAATAACCCTGCCTAGAGGCCCCACCCCTCCACATCTTAGCCCTAGATAACCAGCCTACCCACCTATGGAAATGTGCTCCCCCCACCTTCTCCTACTGAATACCCCTCCTCCCTTTCTCTCCCCATTCCAAATCATATCTTCTGTTCAGCATCAAAGAACTGGAACGCGGCAGCAGCTCTTCTTTTATTTTCCTTTTAAAAAAGAACAAACCTGCGAGGAAGCGGAGGGGAAAACCCCAAAACAATGCTACAAAAACCCTCCAAATCTGCAAAGCAGCTTGAATTGTGTTAAAGGTCTGAAAGCCCACAGCACCCTTCCCTGAACGAGTGACATTTCATAGCGAGAGAAATGAATTTTCGATCCAGAGCTAGGGAGAGAACAGATAGGACTCCGCTGCACCGTTGGAGGTCGTGCTGACGTTCGAGGAATCCGTCTGGGCAATCAATCAGAGGGGCTTGGCAGGGGCTTGATTGGACTCGAGCAAAGGACTAGCAAGGAGTGGGCCACGTGCCCCTCCGGTGCCTAGGGGGAGGGGGAGGAGGAGGAGGAGGTGGCCTCTCTCGTTTGCTCTCTGCCGACTTCTGAACAGGGGACGCTTCAGGGGCACACGGCCTATTGGCAGCCGGGAACAGTAAAAGGAACTGTGCTGAGCCTCTAGGGACGTTTGATGGATCACCGGAGAGCAGAAGAGCAACCAAGCCAAGGCTGCAGACACACCCACACTGTTACTGATAAGTGACCTTCACGCAGAAGGTCTCTTCGTTCATGTCCTCCTGGTCATTGATATAAATCAGAATTTCCTCCTCACCAGCGCTCTGGCTGGGGGCAAAGCGTAGGCCGATGGTGTAGGTCTCCCCTCTGCCAATCTGCAGGGATAAGGACAAGAGCAAAGAGGTGGTTCGGGGTAATCTGCACAGGTCCATCTACGGCTCAGTAGCTTGGTGAGCTGCCAGAATGTAGGAACTGCCTTGGTTGCCAGCAGGGGTGGACTGGCCGTTTAATTTACAGGGAAATTTCCTGGTGGGCCACTGTCCTAGGGGGCTAGTGGTGGTCAGGCACAAGCTGACCCAGCAACTCTGCCGACACCCCAGGGACATTTGCCTTAGACCCTTTAGCAGCAATGATAAACTATGTAAGCTCATGTTGACTTCCCAGTCCACCGCAGTTTGT